TACAAAATTTCTTTTTTTTTTTTTTTTTGGTACCCAGGGTCGAAATTGGGACCTTGTGCTTGGAAGGCAAGCAGCAGAACCACTGAGCCAAATCCCCAGCCCCTCTTGTACAATTGTTTGATGGATAAAATCCAACATCCCTGAAAATTTCCCATCATAGTACCACAAACCACAGGGGAGAAAGACAATATTTGTACTAGCACTAAAGGATCAAAATTTCTTTAGAGCTATTTGATCTACCTTTGGTGTTCCACTACAGTACACTTGTGCTTGCTTCAAATGTCACATAATTCATGACTGAAGTTTTTTTCCCAAATCTTCAAGTAAATGTAGTGTTGTTTTATGACGTTCATTAAATTGTATTGCAGTCTCTGGTACATCACTATGGGGGTCTATGTACCCTACTTTTGAAAGGAGTTAAACTTATGATTTTCTAAAAGCATTTGGCTGAAACAAAAAAGAAGGCATGTTATAGAAACTATGCCCTGAGATTGGATTTTCCATGAGGGATTGGGGGTACCAAGAGGCACAACCATTACATAAAGTGACAAAGAGCAGGCAGTTGAAGGTTTCATGTCAAAGGACTTGGTAGGTTTTACATCATCCTTGAGATTAAAGTCTGTTCTATAAGAACTGGGAAGGAATCCGTTGACATTTAGGTCAAAGCTAGTGTCCCTGTTAACACAATTATAGTTGCTATTATTATTACTGTGAGTAACAGTAACTTTTCAAAGCAAATTTCCTAGTCCCTGTGTTAAGCTTTGGAGGTGAAATAGACAAGTTTCTTGAGGAGCTCAGAAGAATATATACACATTTATTCTTATATTTTGCCTTACACATCTGTGTTCAAGAAAGACGAGACAGCTAGGTGGAGAAATCACCAAGAATACACAATTACTCTTGGAAAAGTGGAAGGGTTTTTTCCCCTGAGGCAAAAGGTGAGAAAGAGAGTTTCAATTTGGAGGTGGGTGGAAAGGAGAAAATGTAAGGACTTCATTGCAAAACAGCTGTGTTTCCTGTGCAAAGCAACTAGAGTATCAGCAGGATGAAGAAGGGCCAGGAAGAGACAAGAGATTCTAAGATTGCCAGGAAGCAGCAGTGCAGGGGGATGAGAACCCCAGGTGTGAAGGACCCCGGCTAAGATTATATACGCCAGTGCGTTCAGTGGTCCCAATCTGCGAGGACAAAAGCAGCTGGAAGAAATCTAGGGGGATCGCTTCTCGGCCTTTTGGCTAAGATCAAGTGTAGAAATCTAGGGGGTTGTATGACTATAACTTCAAAGATCAATACAGTCATTGTTACACTGCGAAAACTGAATGATGGCATCTGTTATAGTAGTGACTGATAAGTAAATATTAATACTGGCAGTGTGTTTAGCATAGAACCTGGCACACAGTATTCACATGTATGTTGAAATGATAAAAAGGGACCTAACAGAATCCAAAGTGCTACTCAGAATGGAAGTGAAGCGAGGCAGTAATTATTCAATCTGAGATTAAGAGGGGAAGCAGTAAGAGATTCTTCTGTGAAAAAAATGAAGCATTAAAAATCTAGAACTTCTTTTCTTATTACTGTTACTGGAAATCAGGTTCGGGGAAATAATCAAGAAGTAAAAAACTCCCAGCCACGTTGGTGCACACCTGTAATCCTGGCTACCTGGGAGACTGAAGCCCAGCTTGGGCAACTTAGTGAAATCCCATCTCAAAGTAACATAAAAAGGGTCAGGGATGTAATTTATAGTCGAGCACTTGCCTAGAATGTGGGTGGCCACTGGTTCCGATGTCAGTTATACACACACACACACACACACACACACACACACACACACACATACACACACAATAATGATTACATGGAACTTTAAACCTTAAGATTTCAGGTCCTGAAAGTAATCACGGGAGTGGTTTACTGAGGAGGAACCCTGATAAAGGTGAGTAGAAATGAGATGGTCAATATTTTACATAAACTATAACTTGACCAGAAGTTGAAACTTTCCAGCGTTTAGCATCCAAGGAAAACCACAAGAAGGTTAAGAATTCAGAAATGGCACCATAAAGAAAAACAAACTCTTGAAGAAGATAATAAGAACATAATTTTAAAAGAAGCATGGAGTAGCTAAAAAGACAATGACTCTAATATCTAACATCTAAAACTTGAAGACTTTATAAATGAACAAATTGCCCCACTTAAGCAGAAGCATCTTGAGTAGCAGAAATTCAAGCTCAAGTTAGTTAAAAGGATGGATTTTTCACAAAGAAGTTCATGGCAGCCTTCTTTTTTTAAAAAAATATATCATGAGCATTGTAGATTATGCAGTAGAAACAAAAAGAATGAAATAGCCCAGAGAAGAGGAACTGTTAACACGAGTGCAGAAGTTGGAGGATGATGGAGGACCAGTACGGTCTTTACCTTGATCAATTATCATAAACCTGTGAGAACAGAGAAGTAGACAATAAAGCTATATTAATGGAAATAACATTTCCACTTCCTGTGGTCTTTTTTTTAACTTTAGTGTAAAGTTATTTTGTGGGCGGAGGACATGAAAATTTCACATCCAAGTTTATGGGCAGGAACATTTTAAGTCTTACTGCTTATATGTCTGCAAGGTGTGAGCAGGGTTAGATTCGTATTTCTGCTGAATTTCCCAATTTTGGTACAATATGTGCTCCTGTTTCTTGTTTTCTGAAGGATTACTTACCACCGGACACACACTCTGGGGTGAAAGAGATGTCATCAAGGGCAATGAAGACGTCCCCATCTCCACCCAAATCAGCTTCGAATGCTACTTTAAAGGGACTGTTGCTGGAGAGAGATACACGCCCATATGTCCATCCGGTTCTTTTTTTCCCAATCTCTGACCACACTAGGATGTCTAGTCCTGATTCTTCAATGGTATACACCTAAAAATAATAACCAGAAAAAAAAACAACTCTGATGATTGGATGTTAGGAGCATTTGGAAATACAGAGGGTTGATTAGCAAAATAATAAAGACGCTGATAATGTGAAAGATCAATACACTGACTATCATATTTTCTACCTGTAGAAACTGTGGGTTATAAAGTTAGCCAGTGCATGCCGTATTTTCTTTGGTGTTGTCACAACATGTGTATATACCAAATGGATATGACCAAAAGTGACTTCCTTAGGCATAATTTAGAAAGTTAGAGGAGATATACAACTAAAATTTTCATTGTTTAGAAACTTTGTCAAGGACATTACTCAAGAAAAAAAAAAGGATCCTCATGTAAAGAGATACGAGATTCTACAAATCATTTCACACATCAAAATCATGTACAGAAAATATTTAACACTTTTGACAAACAGAAAATCATCTGGGGCTAACATCGATATTTGGCACTAAAATACAAGGATTAGCAAACACAATAAAGAAGTAGTGAAATATTAATAGGGTTAGTCTTGAAACCAACAACATAAATTAAATTCTAATATTTTAAAAATGAAAAGAATTTATAAAAATGCAATTTTTACTGTTCTTCTGAAAATATACATTTAAACAGTAAAAACGTAAGTTTGAAAAGTTTTTGTTTTTAAATTCTAGAAACCAAACCTAAGGGCTCAAGCATGTTAGGCAAAAGTTCTACCACTGAATCGCAGTGACAGCCAAACATACTTTTTTACATCATCTTTACTCAAATTTCAGTTATTTTCTTCAGTTTCCGAGGCTACATATATTACACTATACTATACACATATAGAGCTATAATGTTCCTCAGAAATGTATTCATAATTTTTAACATGATAAAAATAAGACCCAGAAAAGCAAGAAAAGATGAATAATTTTCTTAATTGCAATGTACTTTTCTTTTTCTCTTTCTTTTTTTTTTTTTGTTTGTTTTTTGAGACAGGGTCTCACTATGTAGTTGAGACTGATGTGGAGCTCACTATGTAGCCCAGGCTGGTCTCGAACTCACAGCGATCCTCCTGCCTAAGCCTCCCAAGTGCTGGGATTATAGGCGTGCACCACCAGGCCTGGTCAACAATGTACTTTATTTAATGAACATGTTCCCTAATGAAAATTATTACTTTCTCATTTTTCTACTGAATTTCAAAATTTATTACAGGAAAATCATTCCAAATGTTTACTATCTGAAGAAGTAATACTTCTCATTCTATTACATAGGATGAAATTAAATTGACATTCCAGAAATATTACCAAGAATCACCAAATTCTGCAGAGCCAGAAATTAAGCATGTTGCTAGTGGTTACCAGTATAAAAGATCTAAGACTGAGTCAGAAACAACTATCACTAAGAATTAAACAAAATAAAATTAAGACTTTCAGACGAAAGGAAAATTAAAAATTTGCTCACACTTTGGAAGCCTGAAATGTGAGAATTCAATAGCACTATAATCAAATTAAACATTTTGGAAAAGCAGATGTTTCCCAAGCAGAATTTACTTTTTTACTTTGATACTTCATTTAATGAAATAAACTAAGATACAACATGAGAGGAGCCTGGGTCACGTGACCATTCTGGGGCTTAGCATAAGCACTCTTGCATATCTCAAAGTTCTCAGTTCCAGGGCATGGTGGGCACTTAGTTCTCAAAATCATGCAATTTGTTTTTTCAATTTTCTTAGAAGTTGAAATAAAAAGATGCAAAGTTTCCAATTCAACATGTTGGTTAAGAGGATCACTGCATAGAATCTAAAGTGAGCTCTGCTTTCTACGTAATTCCTGGTTTAATCAAACTCAGTTGAAAAATAATAGTTTTATTATATTTATTTTGTAATGCCTATTCTGGAAAAATTCAGAAAAGATAATTACATGAAAATATAACCCGAGTGGTCTCCAGTTTCCATTCAACTTTGATACATATTTTATTCATTAATGTTCTATTTTTATTACTTTTACATTCCATCTGACTCTGTAAATTCAACCTTTTTACTCTTTAGTCAATCCAATGTATTCTTGCCAAATTCATTTTCTTCCATTCTCTTTTCAGTGTATTTCTCAAAACCCACCATGAACTCCTCTCACTTTGAACATTAGACTCTGGTAAATGTCCACACATCTTATCCCACTGTGCGACCCTAGCCATGATTCCAAGTAAACTCTGGTCAAGTTCACTGACTTACTTCTTATTTCAATGAACATTTCTGACCCATTTATAGGTGTCTTGGTAAACCACCAATGTATTAAACTGAACAATTATGCATTGGGCCCAGTATTTCTGCAACCAGAGTGGCCAACAGAAAAACTAGGAGTATTAGTTAAAAACTGCACATTACACTGTTTATTCATGGTACATAACAGGAAATGTACAAAAGGTTCGTAGTAAATATTTCTATTGCCCAACTGAAATAATATTCATTGTATTCTGAGGGTGATTTGGTAATAATTCTCACAAAAGTTTTATTTTTAATAAGTTAAAAGTCTCTCACTTTGAAAAACAAAAAAGGTTAATGTTATTGAAAAATAACAGGTTTTAATTTACTAATTTTATATTGATATGTATTATTAGTTTTATATATCATTAAACTAATTTTACTAAAAGCAATTCATGCTTTCTGAATATTATACCTTGGGTGAATTTTCTTTGACATTTTAAATTTTGGTTGAACAAAGACCCAGTAAAATAGTAATGGTCAATATTACATATTACAAAACAATGATTTTTATCATGATTAGCAATAAAATAAGTGGAACCAACGAATATACAAAGATATTAAATTCTAATAAAATTTACACTATTACAGAATTAAAATTATAGTCAAAGGTTATAATCAAAATAACTACTTATAACATGGGGCAGGGAAATTTTAAAGAAATAATTAAAAGAATCATACCACATGGGCCAGGGATTTAGCCCGGTGGCACCGCCTGCCTCGCAAGCACAAGGTCCTGATTTCGATCCCCAATACCAAAAAAAAAAAAAAGGAAGAAAGAAAGAAAGAAAAAAAATTGTTCCACAGCGGTATATGTGCACACGTTTATAACAGCACTGTTTGTGATAGCTAAACTTGGAAACAGTCCAATTGCCCATCAACTAGAGACTGGATAGAGAAGATTTATTTTAATAAAATGTAATGCTACTCAGCCATAAAGAAGGAGAAACTAGAGACATTCATAGCTAAGTGGATGCACATTGAGGCCGTACTTCTAAGTGAAATACAGAGGACACACCTGTTAATACCGAATCATTTCTCTGATGTGAGAAACTTAAAAGTGTAAATGAGGATCAAAATGTATAACAGATAATGTGAAATAGGAAGAAAAGGTCCACAGGGGAAGGGGAAGAGGAAAAAGAAAGAAGGGAAAGGAATAAATATCAGAAAAGGAAAAAACAGAAACGAAGTCTTTGTAAATAGAGAGGGGCGGGTGGGGTTGAAGGGAGGACAGAGGAAATGGGGAAAAAGTAAGAACCAAGACACATCAAGTAAAGGTACACGTTCCCAAGGATGAATGTAACGGTATTGTAAACCTAAAATGTACCAATAAACCTGACGACTTTAAAGAATAGAATAAAATAATAAAGGCATCTGTTGACAAATATTATAAGATTATCTACTTAAAGGTGTTTTTTTTGGCAAAGCAACTCTTCTGTATTTATTTAGAAATAACATTCTTTTGAAGAAAAGCGTTCAACAGACATGAAGTAACGGGGAATTTGAAAGCTAACAGTAAAACTGAAGAACAGGGGCGGATATCGAAGCTATTTCTGCAATTCCATGGATCCGCGCTGCCTAGGTGAATGTTCGAAAGAAACTGATTAGCAGCTGTTCCCCGTTTCCCTTTCAGACACGCCAGCTTGGAGGGGTCACCGCCACCCACTGGGCTTCTCTGAGTGGACGCCTCTGGGCAGCAAACGCTTCGTCCGCTTCATCAGGTATTTATTTAGCTCATCAAAGCGGCGCATGGAAGAGGCTGGGAGGGGAACGCGACCTTCCTGGCCTGAAGGAAGGCACCGATCTGAAGTAGTGGGCTTCATCCACAGGGGCGCAGAGTCTCACATGGGTTCCATTCGAAACGACTCGGATTTGATGTAAGAAGAAAGGAAACATAAAGGGAAATTTCCCTCCAGGTAAGAGGCGTTAGGCTCTCAAACTAAGTTTATGAGTAGAAATGACAACAATGCTGCCCAAATTAAGGAAAGTTAGCCCAGAAGAATACCTTATGTTATGTGAGCCTCAATTTATATGTGGGTGTGGGGTGAGACTATTAAGGGCCCACTACAGCTATGGGATTTGGGAAACAAGGTCAAACGAGTACCTAAATGCATACGGCACAAACCTGATCCTTTTGCTGTATCATTTAATGGGCTTACGAATCATTACTGCAGTGCTCACAACCAAAAAATAACAAAACAAAACGGAAATCCAAAGGTCTTCTGAGACTTCTCACAAAGCCGAGACCACAGAGAAGTATCGCGGGGTCTGAAACAGGACCGTCATGGTTTAGGTGAACGCGGTTCCCCAGAACTCGTACTCAGAGGTGGGGAGGTGGGAGGAGGGTGAGTTATGGGGGTGCTGGGCGGACCATTAGATTCATACACAGCTGAGTCCAACCGCGGAGGGAGCTGCTGGCAGGTGGGGAACGGGTGGAAGCCGAGGGTCACTGGGCCCTGCCCTCGAGGGTCTATCTTCCTCCTCGGCTTCTTAGTGCTCTCTCCGCTTCCGGATCACTGTGACGTGAGCAGCCCCTTCCTCTGCACAGCCCCTTCCACCACCCCGTGCGTGGCTGTCTACCTACCAACCACGGACTCAGAACAGGATCCCAAACAACTCTCCTCCTTCCTGCGGTAGGTGGTGGGTACTGGACTCCAGCAACCAGGAGAGGGACTGAGACAGGAGGAGAGGTGGGGAACATAGCATCACAGCTGAGTAGAACAGAAGCGCAGGACAGATACTCCTCCAGGCACTAGCACCAGAGCAGA